GAGAGAGAGAGAGAGAGAGAGAGAGAGAGAGAGAGAGAGAGAGAGAGAGAATTGCAAGTTGTGTACAATTAGAGCACCCAATACACTAGGATTAGAAAGAAATGGGAATGTGGGGGAAGACAAAGACAATAAAGCTGGGAGAGTATTCGCATACAAAACCCATGCCATACAGCTGTGTGTAACAAGCCATATGTTTAATGGGGAGCTTTCCCAGTAGTCACTGCTAAAAGGGCAATGTAGTCCCTAACGATACCCAGAGCCTGGAAGATAAAAGCAAAGCAGCTGCCCTGAAGAAACACAGAGTTTCCTGGCACTGACACAGTGTGATGTCCACGCAGCTTCACACCACACCATGCTGTTCACAGAAGCATTAGGTTCCACTGCCAGTAGGGCTGCGGGACCCTTCTCGATGGACAGTGACTTGCTTTTCCTTTGTGATACTACAAGGAATATGTTGAAACAATTAGGGTTTGGCTTTCAGCTTGATTATGTCCTGGGGCCAATTCCTCAGGACTGGGAAGGTACAGCCTCTTGTTGTGGGACAGGAGGTTTCACGGGAGTGTCTGACCCCTTTGAAGAAGCTGCTTGCCGGGTGAGGGCTCCCATTTAGCCAACACTGAGCCAACCCTCCGCTGTTTCAAGACCAAGGTCGTGCCACTTCTATTTAGTTGCGGAAGTTATCTGCTACCTCAAGTTGTGACAGGCTTACAATGTGGTCCCTAACCCAGCTATAGTCCCTTCCAAGTCACTCTTAATCTCATACTCAGACAAGCCCCTGACTCCGTAGGTGGATCTCAAAACAGGGCAGGAGGGTCTGTCCTGGGAGGCAGCAGCAGGCCCTATATTCCAGCCTCCTGTGGCAGAGCCTCTCACTCTCACCCCTACCCCCTCATTCCCTCCCACTTCCCCCCTTCCCTCCACTGCCTCCCACCCACCCTACAGAATCAAGGAACTAGACCTATGCCTGACTCCCAATTATGCAGTCTGGGAAGTCATCACACCTTCAAGTCTCCATTTCCTTTTCCATGAAATGTCAAGTCAATTCCAGTCCTACCCGATAGAGTCGAGTCGTTCTAAAGGCTCAGCTAGGAAAATGTCCCACAAATCACTGACATCTGGGACCTGGTGCCAGAAAAGCCCCCTCCTTTACCCTGGCTGCTGTCCAATCACAGCCCCATACATTTGCATCTGTCATATAAAAGGACCCCAGGCACCAAGGGTGAGGGAGCAGCCACAGAGCCTTAGGTGGGATGGCTGGAGCACAGGCTCTTGCCAAAAATCCAGGACCAGCTTTCAGGGTGGCCCTCTCACCAACTGAGTGAGGTCTTGAGAAAATGGCTTAGTCACCAGGCATGGAGGCACACGTATGTGACCCTAGCACTTAGGAAGTCAAGGAGGGAGGATTGTGAATACAAGGCCAGTCTGGGGTATATAGGGAGATCCTATCTCAATAATTTACAAGGAAAAGGGGGAGGGGTGGAGAGATGGCTCAGTGGTTAAAAATCCTTGCCACCCTTCCTGAATACCTGAGCTCAGTTTCTAGAGCCCATGTGGGGCAGTTTGTAACTGCCTATGACCCCACCTCTGGGGGAATCCTGTGCCCTCTTCTCGTCTATAAACACACACACACATATACACACACACAGATGTGTATAAATTATTTTTAAAAAATCGAGAGATAAAAGAAAATGGCTTGCGCTGGAGAGATGGCTCAGAGAGATGTCTTGGAAGAGAATCGACAGCTCTTCCAAGGGTCCTGAGTTCAATTCCCAGCAACCACATGGTGGCTCAAAGCCATCCGTTATGAGATCTGGTGCCCTCCTCTGGTGTGCAGATATACATGGAAGCAGAATGTTGTATACATAAAAAATCTTAAAAAAAAAAAATGGCTTACCCAAATCTTAGCTTCCTTAACTGAAAAAATGGAGATACTGGTATTTTTTTCTCAAACAGTGAAGTTAAAATGGGATACTCTTTGTAAAGTACCTATACTGGAGTCTAGTGCTGTGTGGATGCAGTCCTTTTGGAGTTGGAAGAAAGTTCACCTTAAAGCAGGAGTGTGGCTGGCACAGATGGGAGAACCACTCAATTCCCAACCTGAGCCAAAGTCCCTCTCACTGTGGAAGTTGGTCAGGTGGGTGAGGCCTGAGTAGGGTGCTGAGTGGGCCTGGGCTGCACAGGTGACCTGGTGATTTACTGTGGTCAAAAGGAAGCACAGTGTCTCACAGAAAGGGTATCCCAGGTGACTGTCATGGCCCCTTGGTGTCTCATCGTTGCTTCCTCCTCTAAAGTGTGACCCTGGGGTCCCTCTGTGGGTCTCTGAGCACTGACTGAGCCTTTCTCCT